ATTTTCTATGCAGAAAGAAAAAACCATATGAAGTTTATATCCAAAAGGAAATTACTTTTTAAATCCTGACGTCAAGATTCCCGCAATGATATCAGGGGGGATGTACACCTTCGATGTACACTTAATATTTCTTTCTTTTCTAATCTTTTTGGATATAAACTTCATATGGTTTTTTCTTTCTGCATAGAAAATAGAGATAGATAGAAAAATGACGACGGATACAAGGGAAATAAACCATCACTACTGCAGTAAGCATTATATATTTATTTCTATGCCTGAAAAAGTGTCACATACCAAAGTAGCTAATCTGGCGAATATCTAAATTCATTATTCTTATATCATTATTTTAACTAGAATGTATAAAATTCGAACTGTTTGTTTGGGACACACAAAAGAATTTAATGGTAATTACGCAACATTCCAAGAATTCTACGATGAAGTATTTTCAGCCTATGGCAAATATTTTGTTAAAAAAAATGTCAAAAAAGCAAAGATTAATATTATATTCACATATAGAAATGAAAATGGTAATGAAGTATTATTGAATGATATAAAAGTAATACAACAAAGAAAGTCAAAAGAACGGTTTGATGTTTCCGTTAAACGAGTACGTATATGTATGATTCTAGATGATGTGAAAAATAATGTATTTTCATATACTGGCATGGCCAGATAAATCTTCTACCGAAGTGAAATTCCGTGACGAAATTTTGACATTTTGCTCTGTTCATTTTTTTTAGCGAAATCACAGGAACTGCTGTGGAACGTCTAGAATTGTAAAGCTAACGTTTCTCTATAAAATGAGACATCTTGGGGTTCAGTACGTTTCTTTGTTTAAAAAATAAAAGGAAAATATGATGACAAGTCATTTTGTAAGGACACGTTAGCTTTAGAATTCTAGATGTTCCACAGCACTTCCAGTGGCTTCGCTAAAAGTATATGAACATAGGGCAATATCGAAAGGACGAAGAGCGTTTTCTGCGGGAAATCCACCACCAATCATTTTCAACAATCTATAATGGTAATGAAAGCTGAGGTTTTCCTGATTTGAATCCGCATAACTTTTTTGATCAGGCTTCCTTCACTCACAGCCCAAGAAAACATTATTTAACATTGACATGT